CTCCTTGGTTTCGCCGATGACATTGACATTATGGCACGGAACTTTGAGATGATGGCGGAAACGTACATCAGACTGAAGGCTGAAGCTAGACGGATTGGACTTGCCATCAACGCATCAAAGACAAAATATATGAAAGCAAGAGGTTCTAGGGAAGACAATGTTAGCCTCCCACCCCGAGTTCAGATTGACGGTGACGAAATCGAGGTGGTCGATGAGTTCGTGTATTTGGGCTCACTGGTGACCGCCGAAAATGATACCAGCAGAGAAATTCAAAGACGCATTATGGCAGGGAATCGTGCCTACTTTGGACTCCGGAGGACGCTCCGGTCAAATAAAATTCGCCGCCGCACGAAGTTGACTGTCTACAAGACGCTGATTAGACCGGTGGTCCTTTACGGCCACGAGACCTGGACTATGCTCGTGGAGGACCAACGCGCCCTTGGTGTTTTCGAACGGAAGGTGTTGCGTACCATCTACGGTGGAGTGCAGATGAATGACGGAACGTGGAGGAGGCGAATGAACCACGAATTGCACCAGCTGCTGGGAGAACCATCCATCGTCCACATTGCAAAAATTGGGCGACTACGGTGGGCTGGGCACGTCGTAAGAATGCCGCACGACGACCCAGTGAAAATGGTTCTAGAAAGCGACCCAACAGGAACAAGAAGAAGAGGCGCGCAGCGGGCAAGGTGGATCGACCAAGTAGAAGGTGACCTGCGGACCCTTCGCAGACTACGAGGCTGGCGAACTGTGGCCATGGATCGAGTAGAGTGGAGACGACTTCTTCGGACAGCAGAGGACAACAAGGCCTTAGCCTGATTGGTAAGGTAAGTATGGAAGAACTGACGATCAAGCGGAACTCGCTCTTCGAGAAGATGAAGTGGGAGCTAAATACGGCGAAACGCGTCCAGAGCCGGAGCCCTCCACTTTGTGAGGTTAGGGAACGCGTCGATCGGCTGCACCATCTCGGAAACAATTTTTTCGACTTGCAGAGTAAAATCGAAGACAAAACGCCGCCATTGGAAGCAGTTTCATCGGTTTTCAACTACCGGACTGAGTTTGAGGAGTTATATTATGAAGCCAAATGTATCTACTCGCAGATGGAGGAAGGGTCTGTTGGTGGTGATGACACGTTTGAGGAACCAACCAACAAGCTACGGCATGCAGTTTCGGCACTGCTGGAAACGCAACGGTTGCTCCTGTCGAACCAAGCTGCAGTTTCAAGCCAAACGAGTGCGTTAACTGCCCAGCTAGGGGACTTTCGACAAGCATCACTTCGTGCCACTGCAGCTGAACCAATGCTCAACGTACGACTCCCTCCAATCAACATTCCTATCTTCAAGGGTGACCACAAGGACTGGCGCTCTTTCAAGGACCTTTTTGTTAGTACCATTCACGACAAGGAGACGTTGCGTGACTCACAAAAGCTGCAGTATCTCCTTTCATACCTTGACGGTGAAGCTAAGGCATTGGTGAGCTCGTTTGCGATCACGGATGCGAATTACAACCAAGTGTGGGACAAGTTAGTGGAACGATATGATCAACATAAGTACACCGTTTTCTCGCTAGTGAAGGAATTCCTTGAACAGCCAGTCGTGTCATCTACGCACCCGAGCAACCTTCGGAAACTAGTAACGACATCCGATGAAGTTATTAGACAACTGAGTGCCATGGGTGCCCAGTACGAATCGCGTGACCCGTGGCTCATTCACCTCCTTTTGGAAAAAAATCGACAAGGAAACACGTTCTCAGTGGGCCACAAAAATCGTCGATATGCAGAATCCTACGTTTCAAGAGTTCCTGAAATTCCTCGAAAACCGTTGTGATGCCCTCGAGACATGTTCCTCGTTCACGCGGAAGATCTTTACGAATCCGGATGCTACGAAAAAGGAAATTCGGAAGGATCAAGCGAAGCCGATAGAGAGGAAGTTTCAAAGCTTTCACATCGCACCCCAGCTGTGCCCGAAGTGCTCTTCAGAACAGCATCAGATCTATCAGTGTGCCTCCTTCAAAGCCTTAAGCGTCGCTGACCGTAGGGAGTTAGTGCAGAAGTCAAGACTGTGCTTCAACTGCCTCAGGCCGTCGCAATGATGAAGTATTCGATTTTTATACAGTTGCCACTCTTGCATTTATCGCAAGGATCCGACTCTAATTGACAGGTCCCGCTATTTATACCCTTCGGAGTGTTGAAACACCCTCCAAAGGCGCGCCCCTTTGTCAGTCAAAATAGGATTCCTTAGCAACAAAATTAAGGTATGACACCGATAATGACCATGCATCAGAACCCTAGTCTTAACCACTTCAAACTAGGGAACAACGAATAGAAGATTAGGAATCCCATAGATGAAGACAACTAAATCATTTTTTCCTTGTTTCAAGATCATCCTCGGTAGACAAAACCGAGTCTTGTAACTTGTAACAAGGACTAAGATGTGTTCTTTGGATTAATGAAAAATCCTGTTCCCCTAGTTTGAAGTAGTCAGGACTAGGAATCGGTGGTAGATCTTACATCCCGTAACGTACCACGAAAAGGTGATCTACCCACGTTACGGGTCTTAAACAACAATAATTTATGGTGGTCCTGAAAAGAAACGTTTTGTCATGCTGGTTGAGTAATGCTGAGCTATTAGGGTGTTCAACAAGGATGAGGCTGGCTAGCTGTATGTTGTTTGGAGCGAAGGTTGACGCGCTTGGCATACATGGCCCACTGTGGCTCACGACGAGCAACTGAATCCGATCAGTAGTGGTGCGGCTTCTTCCTCTTTCTTCGGTGAATCGAGGGCTCTTGAGGGCAGCCTTGATAGCTAGCTACTAGCGGGGAGCCTTTCGTTGTGTACTGGAGAAAAATGTACAACGCCACGTGCCGAAAGCACTGCTGCTGCTGATGATGATGACGACCGATCGGATACCACCACAAGCGGTAATTGAATGAACACCGTTCGGTGAGACCGGATGGAATTCAATTTGGAAAAATCTGTGTTAGGGAAAGCGCTTTTCGCAGGCAATCGGTGATAATTTTAACTATCATAGCAACAATTGCACATTCGTGCCATTTTCAATTGAGAAATTATGAAAAATGATAAAGTCTTAATTTTAACAGATTCGCAGAAAAATTTCCTATCGATTGGCGCATTAAGAATTAAAATCCATCATCTCTGGATCAAAATCAGCCCTCTGTCATGCCACGACCGACTTTAGCTTCTGAAATTGCACCCCCCTTTTGCCTTTAAAATACATAGTATGTTAGATTTAAACAGATAGGAACTGACATCCGATTGATGACCTTCACAAATGTCTAGAAAATACTCTTTAACAATTTTTTCTTCTTTCTTTCTTAGTGTTCTAGATGCACTTCCACAGTTATTAATTGGGAGCTTTCGATGTCTGTACCATTTTTGCATTGATATAATTGTGTGGCAAGTCCAATCAGGCTTCTATGCCCAGGGAAGTCGAGAAATTTTCCAACCCGAAAAATTCCTAGACCGGACCGGGAATCGAACTCAGCCACCTCCAGCATGGTCTTGCTTTGTAGCTGCGCCTTTACCGACTGAGCTAAGGGAGGCCTTAACAAATTTATGGTGGTCCTAAAATGGACCGTTTTGTCGTGATGGTTGAGTAATGCTAAGCTATTAGCGTGTTCAACACAAATGAGGTTAGTAAGCTGTACGTTGTTTGGAACGAGGGTGCCGCGCTTGGTATAGATGGCCCACAGCGACTCACGAAGAGCTACTGATTCCGATCAGTAGCGGTGTAGCTTCTTCCTCCAACTTTAGTGAATGGACGCTCATGTGGGCTGCAGCTTGCTACTTGCGGGAAGCCTTTCGTTGTGCACTGGAGAACCATGTTCAACGCCACGCGCCGAAAGCACTGCTGCTGCTGCTGATGACGACCGATCGGACACCACCACACACCGTTCGGTGAGACCGGATGGAATTCTATTTTGAAATCTGTGTTAGGGAAAGCGCTTTTTGCAGGCAATCGGTGATAATGTTGATCACCATTGCAACAGTTGGACATTTGTGTAATTTTCAATAGTGACCTATTGAAAATTAATAAAGTGTTCATTTTAGCAGACTCGTATTAAAATTTCCAATCGATTGACTTGTTTAGGATTAAAATCCATCCGCTATTGACAGAGTTATATGTGGTCAAAACCTAACCACTTTTAGGAATGCGGTCGATTTTTTTTAATTGCACCCCCAATATGTTGCCGAAAGACGTAATCCTACGTAAAAAAAACCCCGGTAATTGCAATCCTATGGGCATAAAATAGAAACACCAGAAAGTACCGATTGATAAATTTCTAGAGTGACAACAAGAACGATGTTCGATTCTGAACCCTACACCTGTGTTAAAAACATTCACTATCGAGACCATGAAAACGACACCACCACTCGACCGTGACGACAAACCTGATCATCAGCAACCAAAACCCATCTACCCTCATCTTATTTTTTCGCCTGTCACCCTGTCCGATCCACCTCTACCAACTGACTCACTGTGTCAGACTCAGAACCGATGTGGTGTGCCTGAGATCGTGCATTGAGATTTCAGATGAGCTGTTTCGAAAGAAGCTGGGAAAAATAGCAAACAATTACAATTTTGCGCAGCTCTCGTCCTCTGCAGCTCGTCAGCATCGAACTAACTACACCAGAACTGCCCACCAGATAGACCTTCAACCCTGCGAACTAGCCACTTGCCCACTTGGTGGTGGTGCGAAATGATGTTCCTTTTTTTTTTGAAGATCAACGATCGACGGTCTTCCCCCGCACTCCCACCCTACCAGGTGTCTGCTCGATCGCCACTTTGCGTAATGATGGCAGGCAGGCACGGCAAATGCTTCCCCGCGGGGTGAACCAACAAACAACAATTTTTCGCATTTTTTTTTTTTGCCACTGTTGTTCTTCTCCCCCTAATAGATCTGACGATGATGATGTTGTTGTTGTTGTTGTTGTTGCGTGAGCAAATCTACAATACAGTCATACGAGTCGCGATCGTACCTGATAATATGATTCCGCCATTTTGAGTTTGCTGAGTAGTTCCGCTCCGTCGTTCCCCTGTATGTACGCTCTGAAGCTGCTGCTGATGTTTGTCTCGGGGCACAAAATTCCTTCGCTTTCTCGCTCACTCACTAGGAAAATACAAACGCGAAATTCCTTTGCACCCTTCCGAAATTAATACAGGTATGAAGCAATAATGCTGCAATTACACCTTCTCTTCTTGGCCGTGGGTGGAAGGATCTTCACCTCGAAAAATTATCAATAAAAACACACCGCAATAGTATTGAATCACTGCTTCTTCACTTCCACTCTTGCTGAACTAGCTGCGCGATCGCACTTCGGTTTTGTCCGGTTGTCACTGAGCTGCTGTTTTGTGTATTTTTTTTGTTTATTACCTCCCGACTTTGACACCAGCACTCTTGACAAGAGTAGCCCCGACTATTGTTTACGGATGATCGCACATACACAGAAGCAAAACGCGATCAAAATCCACCGTTTTCTGATCCAACTTTTTCGCTTCCACTCGGTTGGTGAAGATCGCGGACATGGAACGGAATTTCTTGAACTTCCTCCTCTCGTTCCCAACGGTGACACACCCCTTGCTCACTCGATCCGCGCCGCAACGACCAGTCAACCAACCAACGTGTCTGCCCTGTCTCTACACGACGGACCGACGTTCTTCAACCACCACCACCAACACACACACTGACTGCAGCAAGCTGCGATCGCGAACCTGTCCGTCCGATCCGAGACAACCGCGGAAGACAGGAAATTCCCTCACTTTTGCACAACCGTACACGCCTTTTTTTTCCTGTCGACAATAATAATTCCGGATCCGTTTTGCTGCCGGGCGCTGGAATCGAAACAAACCACCCAAGAACGCGAATAGAAGAACACCGTTCCACACAACACCGACGATGGGAGCACGACAAAACTACTGATTCTTGCTCTTGTATCTGGTCGGTCATCGGTCGACTTCGCTTCGACTGTGTGTTGTTTGTAGTAACTCGTGACTCAAACACCTTCGTTGGGTTTCTTCGGTGTTTGCGTGAAATTGAGGCAAAAAAAATAAGAACGAGGCCCGACGGCAGGGTTGCCAAAAGGAAATCTGGGTTTTTATTCCGAAAAATCTTGGCATTGTATTTTTTGCTCGGTTTTTGGCCAGATTTTTATCTGTGATGTTAATAATATATTAAATTCCCGTTGACTAGTGATGCACCGAATAGTGGTATTTGGTTAGGAATTTGGCATTTAAACCAATAGCTTAACTGATATTCAGCCATTTCCCACCTAACATGTGGCCGTCAATGTGTTTGAGCCAAATTTTGAAACTGGAATGATTGATATTTGGCCAAATACTATACTAATACTAATTGGCAAATCAAAGTTGGCACTCGTGGAGAATAGACGAACTATGAAAGTGATGATGGTTTCAAAATTTTACACGGTGAGGTATACGAGTTCAATCTTAAAATGCTTTGATTTTGCAAATGAAGCATTTTATTTAAATCTGGTTGTTGCTAAAGTGGTAGAAAAGCTGAAATCCATGTATACACCTAAAAACCTGAAAAGAAATTATTTATTCTATATTATATATTTATTGAGTAGTCCTTAAGTTTTCTACTAACGTATTTAGCATTAACCAGATTTAAATAAAATCCTCCATTTGCAAAATAAAAGCATTTTAAGATTGAACTCGTATACCTCACCGTGTAAAATTTTAAAACCATCATCTTTTTCACAGTTCTTCTATTCTCCACGAGTACCAACTTTGATTTGCCAATACTATATTGCTGATTATGCATAAAATGTATAAGTCAATAATAAGCAGACGCCATGCAAAAAAGTCTATATTACGTGATATAGGCTTAAATGTAAACGGGGTATTAAACAAAGTAGTTTTTATTTTTGGAATATTTGATCATAATTTTAAAAAATCTAATCGGTGTTATACTATACCCCGTACAGACTATGACTTATATCATGTAATATAGGCTGTCTTGCAATGAACATTCATACATCTAGTTTTCACTGGAAATCCTATGTATGAGTGCTCATTGCAAGACAGCTTATATTACATGATATTAGCCATAGTCTGTACGGGTTATTAAACTTTAAAATCTGTGATACGTGAATAACACGGGACTCTGACATCAAATGTTTCCACAATGGGATTTTAAAAATATGACAGTACCCTCTTATATCCCGTTCACATTACAGCGTATATCACGTGATATACGCTGTCTTGCAATGAGTTCTCATACATCTAGTTTTCACTGGAAATCCTATGTATGAGGGCTCATTGCAAGACAGCTTATATTACGTGATATAGGCTGTTATGTGAACGGGGTATTAACTGGTCTATAACTTTATGGCCCATAACAAACTTGAATAATAGGGGAAATGACTCTAATGTTGGCCTATGAACCTAAGATTGGGCCTATCGCTAAAAATCTGCTATTTATCAATTTCATCTAGATGAACGTGTCAATGGGACATTACTAATCGATATTTTTGGTCGCTATTGAAAATTTTGTCGATTGCTAAATTTATGTATGGGCCCAAATTAGGGGCATTTAGGCCGACATTACATCCATTTCCCCTACTTGAACAAATAGCAGACAACAGAAAAATGCTGATTCGAACTATTCCAATAGTAATAAATCTAAGTATTCTAATAGAATACTGATTCTATTTTTCAAAGCTCTGAAAAATCTTTGAAACACGGATTAATCAATAATTTTGGCAACTCTGGAAACGAGATGTTTTTAGTTGAGTGAGAGAAGTAACGGGTTGGGCGTGAGTGTGCGTGCAAGGGCAGGAAAACGGTAAAATTTACTTCTTGAGCAGACTTTTCACTTACACCACAAAGGAGCTTGAAGGAAAACAATACCCGCCAGATTCCGCGAGACACTCGGTTGTTTTCAACCAATGCTTATGATTGGGTTAGTGAAATAGTTGTCGCATGCACCAATCCTAAAAAGCTTGGAACTGACTAAAATCTTATCACACAAACAAAAACAAAAAAGGCGATTGCGAAGTTTGACAGATTCGACTCGGCTTGCGTTGAACATCACACCATTGATGTGGAGATGAATTTTGGTGCTCGGTGAACGTCACAGAGCTACAGCTGGATATATCAGTGCCAACATTTCAAAGGGGCGTAATTGCATTTGTAAACAATGGCTTTAGTCGTCGATTTCTCGTGAATAAAAGCTTACTCATGAAAAATAATGACACCAGCAGGTAGAGGAATGTTTCCTCTATCAGCAAGCAATGTAATTTTGTAGAGGTAAGATTACATTCACGAGAAATTGACGGTTAAAGTAATTGTTTACAAAAGCAATTACGCCCCTTTGAAATGTTGGCACTGATATTTTGAAGAAAATTGAATAGGGTGACGAGACATTGGGGTATTGAAGTACATGCATATTCGAAATCTGCGTTATGGTGAATCGTTGTGGAAACCTTATTGCTGACCAATCTCACTTTCACCTAGCAATTTAAATAGCACAAATATCAGCTCTCACAAACCATAAAAGTATGAAACTGGAACTTCACGTTTGCTGCAGTTATGAAGCATCTTAAAATTAAACAATGTCCCCTTAATTTATAAGGCTGTGTTACATTTGGTAAATTTTCACTTAAATTTGACACAGTTGGTGTGAAATAATAATGATTTGTATAGAGTCACCACATCTTCGAAAATAAATTATACTCTCGAAAATCCCTCGCTTGTTGATCGTCCGATTTTCGAAAACGTGTTTGTCAAAATTGAGTCCTGATCCGTCAGAAATAAGTCTGCTCGAAAGGCAAGTTTATTTGAAAATTTTCCATCTGTCAAATTTAAGTGAAAATTCACCAAATGGAACACAGCCAAAGGTTCCCAATGGATCATTGAAGATGCTGAGGTTTTGACAGCACCGTACTGTGGCTACCACAGTATTTTACATTGGATCGTCCGTATACAGTAGCGCCAAATGCAAGCTGTGGCGGGTTCAAAACTCAGCCATCTAAAATGATCCATTCTACGAAGTTTTCCCGAATTTGTACAAAGCACCCTGAAATCTCGCGTCACTTTTCAAATAGACCAATATCCACCATTTTGAGAAAATCGAAGTTGAAGCAAAGATGAATACTAAGATGAAACTGTCGGAAGAAAAACTTTCTATTTTACTGTCCTCTTTCACGGTCCCTTTGATCCAATGAATACCCCCCGTATTCAAGGTTATTTTGTGGTTTTGCTGCTCCCTCGGTAGAGATTAAATTTTGCGCTCATTTTCATCAAAACAATCCCACCAAAATCAGAGATGTCCCATTTTTAAATTACTCGATTAACAACTAATCGATTATTTTTTGTTCGTTGTGCTGCCATTTTTCCACCAATGAGAGTGCAGCACATGTTTGAAACGATCGGTGATGATCCTCTGGAGATGTTAATGCTTATATCGGCATGATATAACCGATTCCAAATATTTTACTTTTCGGTTCGTTAATCGATTAATCGATTATTCGAATGAAAATCGGCCATCACTAGATGAATGTGAAACGTCATTTCAAATCTATGGACCGTACATAAATAATGATACAATTTGAAAGGGACCGGGTCTAATCACAAATTACGTCCCCATGGTAACTGAAATAAACACGAGTGTTCACCGGTTGATTGAAGTTTGACAGATTTTTATTTTAACTGTTTAGAAACAATACATTTTACAATACTATTTTTACTGTAGTCAGTGAATAATAACGTCGAAAATTCAGTTAAAGTAGTTTAAATCACAATTATACTTTGAATTTCATGCTACAATATAGAAAAAAATCCACATAGGACGTTTTGACTAGTCAAGATGTACGTCGGACATGTTACATTCAACGATTTTTCTCAATGACATAATCAATAAGTGTTACATTGGATGTTTTGTTCTATTTGATACTAGATTCCCTTTCACAGATTTCAGAGTAAAGTTCCTAACTTTAGATTGGCCCACCTTTAGAAAATGAGCATCAATTATGTTAGGCCGAAGTAACAATCATGTACCCATCATTTCAAACTGTACATTGGACAATATTTTACCTTTGATTTTCTTAAATAAATGAAAGTAAATATGGATGGGTGTTTTTGTATCACATACAATGATAGAAGAACAACATTTTGTATCGCCTAACTCGATTTGTTTACATTTGTTACTTATGACCTTTTGAAAAGTGACGCAATAATTGTTTCAAAATCTCTGAAACTCTATGAAGTTCCCTGAATTTATATTTAATTTTCATGAAATTCTACAATGCCCCTGAACATCTACAAAGTCCCTGAAATTTCAAAAAGTCCAATGAAGTTTACAAAAAATCTTTGAATTCAAGATCGCAAAATATTGTCAAATTATGTGTCACAATTTAAACAATTTCTTGCAGTCCGAAATTTGAAATATTTCTCAGAAATGGTATGAGCCCTCGCTCATGTTGACTACTACCAGTTGTTGCTTGTAGAGATGAGGATGTCAGCCCCGTGATTATTTCCATAGAGGTAACTCTAAGACCAGAAGGTTCCAAAGAAACGTACTAAACTTTTTGGCTCAGCTCTGGTACTATCTTCGGTCCCAAGCTAATCGATGCACCCCTCGAAACATAGGAAAATCCACGAACCCCTCATTTCATCTGTCAAACTTTCATAGCGAATCAAAACAAACATAGCGTAGTACTAGAATTTCGACTAGAGTGGGGTACGTTAATCGATTTGCTTGGGACCAATACGCTAGTCAAGTAGTGAGCCAAATTAAAATCGTTAATTTCGTATTGATTGCTGGAACTATCTTCGGTGCCAAGAGTTGCGCCCCTCGAAACATAGGAAATCTTAAGATGAGGTTCCAGTGAAATGAAAGACCAAGAGTTTAGTATAAAAAGTAAATTCGGTTTATTCTCGATAATGATGCGCACACAACGAGTTCTCACGATTTTAAATTGGCTCACTACTTGAATTGGTCCCAAGCGAATCGATTAACGTACCGCATTCTAGTCGACATTCTAGTACTACACTATGTTTGTTTTGATTCGCTATGAAAGTTTAACAGATATAATGAGGGGTTCGTGGATTTTCCTATGTTTCGAGGGGTGCATCGATTAGCTTGGGACCGAAGATAGTACCAGAGCTGAGCAATAAAGTTGAGCACATTTCTTCGGGACCTTCTGGTCTTAGAGTTACCTCTATGGTTGCACCTTTAACGCTCCGCCTCAACAAACATGTTCTGCTCACGATGACAGACCTAGCGTGCTTATGGTGCTTGATGGTACCCAATGGCTTAGCCAAAATATCGTCCACCATATTTTCCGTTGAACAGTACTCTAGATCCAGCACCTTGTCTTAGAACAGCTGCTTTACGTAGTATTGCTTGGTATTGCCATGTATTGCCTTGTTTCGATATGCTTGGATCGACGAGTAGACCTTTCTGCAACAACAAACTTTATACAACTTTGGTTGTCCTCACGAGTAGTTACCAGACCAACTTGTTGCACACCAAGATCTTTAAACAGACTCAGCAACCATATCGGCTCCTGGCTTGCTTCACTCAGTGACACATATTCCGACTCCATTGATGAAAGCGTGACACAATTCTGTCTTCGGCTAACCCAAGAAACTGCTCCGCCGGCATAGTGGAAGGCAAAGCCAGTTTTAGACTTGCGTGTTTCAATATCACCAGCCCAATCGGCACCGGAATGGCCAATTAGACCCTCATCGGTATTAAAATTCAACCTCCAGTCCTTCGTAGTTTTCAGGTAACGGACTACTTTTTTGGACGCCATCCAGTCCGCTTCTGTTGGTGCACTCACCTTTCGGCCAAGTATCGCAACGCATGCCGCAACATCCGGTCTTGCGAACACCGCTATATAAAGAAGCGCGCCGACCAAACTTCTGTAAATCATAGCATCCGGTACTAACGAACCCTTGAGCGAAACACTGTACTTCCCATTTTCATTTCCAATCTCCAGACCCAGGAAATAATTCACTTCACCAAGGTTGGCAATCTCGAACTATTTTTTCAGTGCTTTGTACACTAACTCAATCTGAGATTTATCCTTCTGTGCACGATCCTGTGCCATATTTCGACACTCACGCCGGAAGTGCCCCTCCTTCTTGCAATAATGGCATACTTTCTCTTTCTTCACTAATTGCTTCTCCGCAGGTTTCTCCTTCCAAGAAACGGTCACTAGCGCTTTCTCACTGAGTGAAGAGTTCTCCACACGACGTCTTCCTTCGTCCAGCAACATTCCCTTCACAAAATTGACCGTCAAATCCACATCTGATCGACTTTTGAGCGCCATTATAAATTCCTTCGTATGATTCCGGTAGATTGGACAGCATCAAAGCCACGAACAAGTGGTTCTTCATTCCCTCTCCCAGCGCAACGCGGTCATCTACTTGAAGTGTTCCGCCATTTCACCGTTATCTGGCATCCGCATCGCAATTAGCTGACGCACAACATGAATTCAGTGCCAACATTTCAAAGGGGCGTAATTGCTTTTGTAAACAATGACTTTAGCCGTCAATTTCTCGCGAATGAAATCTTACCTCTCCAAAATGACAATGCTAACTGGTAGAGGAAACATTTATCTACCTGCTGGTGTCATTATTTTTCATGAGTGAGCTTTTATTCACGAGAAATCGACGGCTAAAGCCATTGTTTACAAATGCAATTACGCCCCTTTGAAATGTTGGCACTGAATTATGCTCGAAAGGGAGGAACGCTCGTGGTATTCCTTAAGCACATCCCACATCCCCTTCGCGGTCGTCTCCTGCATCACGTGAATCAGCTGACTGTCTTCCAGTGCCAAACCGATCGACGCCTGCGCCGTACCATCTTTAATGACCCAGGCCGCGTCAACAGCTGCCGCATCTTAAACTTACATATTGGCTAGTTCTGGTCGTTCAACTTGTCCATCGGTACTTTCGTGCCCGCCATCTTGTCTTTCCAACACGATTTCACACGATTACCGAACCAAAAAAAATAAAACTTAATTCACTCGCGACGACAAAACTCACGCACTTTCTGCGACAACTGGGCCCATAACCTCTTGGGATGAGGTTCCATTTTGTTGATTGAATAAAATGGCGCATCTTGCTCAGCGACTGGTAGACATCTATAGACTGGTACACATATTAATCTTAACAGGAAAATCCACGTACCCCTCATTTAATCTGTCAATCTAGAATTTCGACTAGAATGGGGTACGCTTATAGATGTACTTGGGACCAATAGGCTAGTCAAGTAGCGAGCCAATTAAAAATCGTTAGTTTCTACCGGTTGATGGAAGTCTATGGGATCGAAAAAAAAAATCGTTTGGCTCAGAAAAAGAAGCCTTTTCAGTTGATGTATAGTACCGTAGAACTCCGTTAGTTTGAATAGCTAAAATCGCAATTACACAACGCTCATTTAGATTTTGATTAACTGGCACCCCTACAGAGATGCCCAATGGCGTTACGCACCAGTGTATGTGCCTGTATAAGCTTATCTGCAGCAAAAATTGTTTAGGCCTATTCTACGAGAAAGGTTCCAGAACTTCAGAATTTGTTTAGGAACTTTAAAAAGTTTCAAAGAATAATCAGACTGCGAGATAGTAAGGGGATTTGCAAGAACTTCTGTAACATTTCGGGCACTTCAGGGAAGCTTTAAGAACTTCAAGGCACCAGCTTCTGGAAAATTGCAGGAACTTTTTAGGAGTTCTAAGAACTTTATGAATATCCAGAGAACATCAGTGAAGTTAAGAAAACTTAAAAGAAGTCCAACGAACTTTAAAGATGTTCCACAAACCTACGTCTAAAGATCTTCAGAGAGGCTCAGGCTCCTTTCGTGACATTTAAAAGTACACTTTTAACGTGTTTGACGTTCATCGCCTTTGATGTGATAGCAATTTTTATTTTTTGCTGCGAAGGCTTCCACAGTATATTCAATGGACGTCCACGAATCAGTACGCGCTTTGAGCGCCTTCAAAGAACTTCTAGGTGTTTCTAAGGGATGTTTGTATAACCTCCAAGGCAAATTCAGGACATTTCTAAGGGCAGTGAATGCTCATCGAAGCTATAGATAGGCAACATATATTTAATTAGCATTCCACATCAGCAAATCAACCGCAAAGTAGCTCCGCTACCTGTTCAGGAGTTTTCGAGAACACCACCTCTGGCCTTTCGTAGCCACTGCTGCGATCGTGAATCCTTTCGTAGATTTGTTTGTATATTGCAGCAATCACATTGAAGGAACGTTTCTGCACGGTCGAACGATGGTTCCCGCTCAACAGTAGATTAACCTGCGGCAGCAGCAGAATTTCCGGCATTTCCAAAAAGCTATCCAGCTTTGACTGAAATTTGAAGCAAATGGCGCTTGATCAGTGAAAAATAGAACCTGCTTTAGAAAAGAAAGAACTCACCATGAACATCTGCAGATGGCGTTGCTCGATATTGGCAGCACTGCTCTGCAGTACCGTGTAGATGGGTCCCAGATTCAGATTGGCCACCAACGAAGAAGCTTGCTCCGACGTTAGGGTATCCAGTTGGGCGTCGGATTGAGCCTGAAGCCGTTCTAGGCGTTCTTCCATGTACTCGTAGATAGTTAGGACGCTTTCGATATGGTAGAGTGAATTCAGCAGGTAGACTGCCATATCGGTCGTCGGTAGGTGCGAGGCCGATTCCTGGATCGACTGCAGCAAGGGATCGATTACACAGGATACTATTTTTAGAATGTCCGATTGGCTGCCTTCCACCATGCTGGCTACGGAGAGGATTTCCTTCAGCAGGTTCAGGAGCTTTCCAACACTGGACGATGGAACGAGGTCGGTTTGCGGTGGCTCCAATCCCAGTTTGTGTTCGTTGGGGCCTTGCAGGAGTTGCTTTACTTGATATGTTAGCGAGCTAAGGTAACAAGACTCGGAATGTGTTTGAAGCTCGGCAATGCACTGCTCCAGCTGGCCACCTTTGACGACCTAGAAAGTTGATTATTATGTTTTAGCATGGGGGTTTTGACGGAACTGAGCATGGAACTCACATTGTTGATCATATTTTGGTAGAAGCGGATCAAATTTGAAATCGAGTACAGAGCAATGGTATCCTTCTCCGTGTTGAGAATCATTTCAACGCGAACTCTCAGAGGGTGGCAGACTCCATCGGAAATGTTGGTCATCGCCAGCTGGATTTGCTCGGTGATGTCTTTGTCGCACATTTTAACCAACATCAGTAAATTCTCCCTCTCTACCGGCAAAATCTGATGAATGTAGGCGAACATATCTCCAATGTATCGCTTTGGATCGTGAGCGGACATTTCGATCGGTTTGGTATTGGGACCTCCAACCGTGAGGGCATCAATGAAGCTTCTGACGACGACCGAACGCCTAGCAGTGGAATATTCATCGATCACATATTTGAACAGAACGGGTCGTTCCTGCAACCTTGCCATGGCTTGGATTACCAACAGACCGATTTCATTGGTGTCAACGTTGCGACAGTGGCTCTGGGTCCATCGATAGAGCCGTTCCAGCGCGGCTTCCTGGTGGAGTGTCATCTCTTCCATGATGTCCAAAGCGGCCGTTTGGTAGCCGCTTTGCAGCAGAGTCTTGCAATCCGAATGGATCATCTGAACGTGATCAAGAACGTTGAAGAACTCGGCCCTTATCGGCTCATCGCGCGTCACTCCGTACAGCGTTTGATGTTCGGAAACGGAGAGTTGGAAGCGGGAAAGGAACCCGGAGGCAATCCGCTGCTGAAGCAGAAGTTTGTTGTTCTCCTCCTGGAGGGTGTTCGCCTGCTGGATCAACTCCTTCTGTTGGGCTTCGGTGTTGCTTAGCTGGGTTTTCATGCTCTCGACCGAACCGCCGATGGCAGCGATGTCGGCACAGATGTCGTCCAGGGCTAGTTTGACTTCGCGGAAGGATGCTAGAAAGTTCTGGAGTTACAAATGCAAAACAAAAATTTAATACTTGTTCGTCGCGTATTTTGGCATGTAATAATATTTGAAAAAGGCCTATACACTTTTCAAAACAGAACTTGAAGTCACAGAAAGATGGCAGAACTTTCCTGAAGCTTGCACAATTTTCGTGGGGTTCTTAAAAATGTTCTGTATGTGTCAAAACTTTGTAGAGGTTCGTTGAAAAAATTCTAAAATTCGCAGAATTTTTGCATTTGTTCTGAAAATTTTGAAGAATTTATTTAAGTTTTAAAACGTTCTGTAAATGGCGAAGAAATTGTGACGAACCTGTTGAGGTTCTGGAAAATCCATCCATATTTTCAGAAGTTGTGGGAAATTTGTTAAAATTCTGGAAACTCTCCAAGAAGTCCTTGTTGCTTCAATGAAGCTTGGGAAATTTCTCTCAAATTATGGGGATTTCAGAATTCATCCAAAAAATATTGGAACTTTCCTACTGATCTGGGAAGAACTTCCCTGGAGTTATGGGAAGAACTTTTTGGAAGTTCATGGAAGAACTTTTCTGAAGTTCTGGCGAGTTCATCCCAGAGCTGTAGAAAAATTCTTGCAAGTACTTCCGAAAAGTTCTTCCCAGAACTTTAGGAAAGTTCCAATCATGTTTGGATGAATTCTAAAATCCAGGGAAGTAGTTCCCTGAACTTGTAAAAAGGATTTTTCTGAGGTTCTGGGAAGAAGTTCCCTAAAGATTTAAGAAGAACTTTTCTCTAATTCTGGGATAAACATTCCTCATGTTCTGGGATGCACTTCCTTTAAGTTCTGGGAAGAACTTTTCTAAAGTTCTCGGTAGAATATCCCTGAAGTCGTGGAGGCGAACCAGCCTCAGGCTGAAAGCCTCCTAAATAAAGATAAATCAATCAATCGATCTCTGAAGTCATGGGAAAATTTTCCTAAATTTCTAGGAAGTACTTACTTAAAGTTTTCTGAAGAATTTCTTTGGAGTACTGGGAAGAGCTTCTTCTCAAGTTCTGGGAAGAACTTCCTTAGACATTGTGGGAAATAGTTCCCTGAACTTGTAGAAAGGACTTTTTAAGGTTCTGAAAAGAACTTCCCTAATGTTTTGAGAAGAACTTCCCTCGTGTTCTGGGACGCACTTTCTTTAAGTTCTGGGAAGAACTTCCCTAAAGTTCTCGGTAGAACATCCCTGAAGTCGTGGGAAAATTTGCCTAAAGCTCTAGGAAGTACTTTCTTAAAGTTCTCTGAAGAATTTCTTTAAAGTTCTGAGAAGAACTTCCCTGAAAGGACTTTTCTGAGGTTCTCGCAAGAACTTTGCTAAAGTACTGGGAAGAACATCGCTTAAGTTCTGGGAAGAAATTCCCTTAAGTTCTGGGAAGAAGTTCTATGAAGTTTTAAGAAAAACTTCCCTCAAGTTCTGGGAAGATTTTTTGGAGTTCTGAGAAACACTTTTCCGAAGTTCTAGAAAGAACTTCATTATAGGTCTGGGTAGAACTTCCATAAAATTCTGGGAAGAACTTCCCTGAAGATATGGGAAGATTTTTTCTTAAGTTCTGGAAAAAAAACTTCCCTAAACCTCTTGTTCTTCTTTTTTTTTTTTTCCTTTATTAACGAGACTTTCAGCCTTAGGCTGGTTCATCTCTACTTTGTTCTTCCTATTATTTTGGAAAGAACGTCCCTAGATTTCATGGTAAAACTTCCCTGAAGTTGTTTGACGAACTTTACAAAAGTTCTAGGAAGAACTTCCCTGGAGCTCTGGGAAGAACATTTCTGAAGTTCGCAGAAGATTTTTTTTGAAGTTCTGGGAAAAACTTTTCTCAAGTTTTGGATAGAACTTCCCTTAAGTTTTCGGAAGAACATCTCTGAAGTTCTGGTTAAAACTTCCCTGGAGTAGATTTTTTCTGTAGTTCTGAGAAGGAATTTTCTGAAGTTTTGGGAAGAACATCGATAAAGTTCTTGGAAGAACTTCTTTGAAGTTTTGAGAAGAGCTTTCCTGAACTTACTTCATATGCTAGGACGAACATCCCTAAAGTTCTGAGAAGATGTTCACTGGAGTTCTGGAAAAAGCATTTCTAAAATACTGGGAAGAACTTCGCTTCAGTTCTGGGAAAAACTTGCTTCAAGTTGTGAATAGAACTTTTCTAGAGTTCTGGGAAGAATTTTCCCGAAGTTTATTTCAGGATATTTTTTCAAGTCTTCAGGTTGATCAGATTTTATTATGAAAATCTTCAACTATTCACGAAATCAAATAGTGTCTCTCAGAAATTCACCCATAATAGCAGTATGATCAGAAATTATTTAAAAAATCTACGGACGATCAGAAATCCTCAAGATAATTTTCTAGTTCAGGATCACTCTGAAGATCTTCAACTGTTCAACAATTCAAGTCAAGTCTCTCTGATTTTCACCCATTATTTCAAAAACCACCAGATGATCATGACCTCCCTGAAGGCCTCAGGTTGATCCGGTAATGTTTTAGAGATTTGTTTACGTTCGCAGACTTTCCCGTTACATGCAGAGATTTCCTTAAGTACCCATAATTTTCCTGGTTGAAGCAGACTAAAAACAAAATGAAAATCGCTGAATTTTCTGAAATTTGCACTTTCTTGAATTAAATAAAATTTTCCTGAAGACTTACTTGAAGTTCACAGACTTCCCTGAAGTTACCAGATTTTTCCTGAAATTCCCAGAACTTTCCAAAAATTTGCTGACCGTTCCTGAAATTCACCGAGTTTTCCTGGAGTTCTTGAATTTTTTTTCTGAACTTTTCCAAACTGTCCAGAAATTTGTCGAAATTCCGCAGAACTTTTCTGAAGCTCACCGACTTCACTAAAATTGGTGGAATACTTTTGAAATTCGCAGAATTTCACAGAAATTCGTGGACTTTGCATATGCTCGCAAATGTCCTAGAAGCTCGCAGACTTTCTATGATTTAGTAAAATTTTCTAAAGCTTACATACTTTCTTGCAGTATACAGACTTCCCTGAAGTTCCCCGACTTTCATGAAGTTCTCAGATATCTCCTGAAATTTGCAGAATTTTCCTGAAGATTGTAGAATTTTCCAAAATTATGCTGAACTTTACTGAAGCTCACAGAATTAAATTCGAGTTAAAAAAGTTTTCTGAATTTTTCAAAACTTTCCAGCAGTTTATTAAAATTTTCTGAAGTTTTCGGAATATTCCTGAGGTTTCCTGAAGTTCACTGAACATTCCTAAAGTTACTAGAAAATCTGAAACTCGTAGAATTTTTACTGAAATTTCATGTAGATCTCTGAATGTTTCTTAATTTCACAAAATTTTCCTGAACGCGTAGAATTTCCTTGGAGTTTGCAGAATTATTCCAACAGTGAACTGACTGAGTTCCCAGAAGTTCCAATATTTTAGTATAGCATAAATGCTGAATTTCGTAGAATTTTTTTTGAAACTCAAATACGTCCCTGAAGATAATTTTTTTTTAAATTCGTTAAAATTTTCCGAAGTTCGTAGAATTTTCCTAAAGTTTACTAAAGTTCCCTGAAGCTTACTAAGCCTTCATGTTGTTCTCAGAACTTTCCTGAAGTTCGCATGTTTGTAGAACGTTCCGGAAGTTCACAGTTTTCTATGAAATTTACCGTTTTTTTTAAGATTCACAGACTTCCCTAATATTTTCAGAGATTTCCTAAAGTTTAAGGGTCCTGAAAAATTGAAAACGGCACACGCGAACTGAAATACGCCCTCAAAATCCAACAACATAAGCGGGTAGGAGAACATACAACTTTTGTTTACAAAAGCTTCTGTGCCGTTTTCAAATGTTAAGCCTGAATTTAAATTATTTCCTGTAAAATTTCTGACGAGAATTTTAAGTAGAATTAAAAAATAAATGAAGTGTTGAGGAGGAACCTAAGAAATTTTAAGAAATTCGAACCAGAATGCCAAGATAATTCTAAGATAAAGTCCTAAAGAATTATAGTGCTTGGAATATTTGGTCGAAAAACAACGAGTCGGAAGTACGTTTTTACACAGATTCTCCTTCAAATAATATTTAGTAATAATTGATCATTCCACCCCACCCCACACTCCCCCTGCATTGTTGACATCATTTTGGGAAGTACTTTCATTCAATCAATTTTACACGTAAAAACAACCATTCCAATCAATCTCACCTCGTTGATGGCCAAGCTTCTCCGCTCGATCTGGCTCCGCAGGTTCCGCCTCGATTGCAGAGTATTTTCCGTGTAAAACTGCGACAAATCCGCCAGCGCATCCAACGTCTCCCGGTCCGTTTCGATTCGCGTTTCCAGAATTTTATTCAACCGCTTCTGGATGAAGTCCTCTTTCTGCGCTTCCTCCATCATCGTTGTGCACTTTATTCCGGATCAAACGGTGCCGATTTAGATTGATTTTACACGGAATTTTGCAATAGGAAATTATGTTTTGTTATTGCTGTCGTGTACCGTGTGAAGAACGAAACAAAACAGCCATAAAAGTGACAGCAAGTTCTGTCACATCAGCTGATGCAGAGTTGGATTCTGCTTTACCCCACTGAACGTCACAACGGAACGTCCAACAAAATTCAGAGGGGTCCACTAAAATTTAAATTCAAACGACAGGTGGTGCGCTTCGCGCGCGAAAGCATGCCTTCGGTCGCCTTTTTTTTTTCTTCGTTCAAATCAAATTCTTGTGAAAAACCCTCCAGCTGTTCCCAACGGATCATAAAGCAAACAGCAGCTGATTGAAAATGAGCTCGTCCAACTTGCGTAAGTCGTTTGGTTTTGTGATTTGAAATTTATAGAAAATTCCACGCTTGATTTCCTCCGACAGAATCCACCGTTTCCGGTAGCGACATGGAATCCGAGTCAGGGACCGGGTCGCTGATGCTCGTCCCGGAGCAGGAACGCAGTCTGGCCCAACGGACGTTGCTGTATGTGTACAACCGGTCCGGAATCGTTACCGCCCGTCAGTTGGCCTTTTGGGAGGTCTTTCGCGAACGCAATCCGGATGTGGAACTTTCGGCACGCGATCTTCGGGCCATGTTCTACGGGGAGGTCCTGTACGAGCCGGAACACTTTGAAGATTTGGACTTCTCGGTGGAGCAGTATCTGAATCCCCGGTTCAATCAGATTCAGCTGGAAGCACTGGAGTTCGGGGATCTCGCCGAGGGGGAAGATTTCTTACTGAACGTGCCGCGGAATGCCACCGAAGGTGGCATGACCTTCGAACAACTGGCCAACTACATTTCCACTCCGTTGGAGGCAGCGCGGAACGTTCAGCTGGCTCCGTTGAATGTTCAGATGGTTGCTGCACCTCGGCCACCATCGCCACCGAAATCGTCCGGTAAGGACGATGAGCTTGGAGAACAATTCAGTCGTTTGCTATGCGAACTTTTGTACTCGGACGAGGAAGCTATTGAGAAGCCGGTTCTGGAACTGCAGGAAATTCGTGAACGCATACTGGCTCTCACCACAGCCGGAATCAAGCTGGAAGATCTTTTGGAACCGGACATGGATTGCTATAAGCTCCTGAAGCCTCCGAAGGATACATCGGTGATGGATAGTCCCGCAACAGATCAGATGGTTCCGGTTGCATTCGGTTCGAGCAGCAAGCTATCGGCCCAGAAGAGGTGGAAATCGTGGGACGACTCGGGATTGGGACTTACGCCCAGTAAGCGGCGGCGTTTGATGACTCCGTCGTCGGTGGCCGCCCGGCAGCATGCCAGACTGAGACGGATCCTGTCGGCGCCACACAACAATAATTGTTAGAGAGGACGGAGGTATTTTGTTCGGTTGGCTGATACATTTTTATACTACTATAATAATATTCATATTTTTACAATTTGACTGTCCATGAATCTGGAAGTAAGGTGTTTTTTAACGTTTATTTTTATAAGCTTGTTGTGTAGTAATAACTTTAAAATAATAAGATAAAATTGCATTTTTCGTTAAATAAAAGACATATTTCCTCGTTCAAACAATAAGGGATTTAAATTATGTTTTCAGTAGACCTATCCAACCGTTTTAAGCATAACTGTCCAATGTTCTATGCAATGCTTATGGGCCATGGGTAATTTTTGTGTGTAACGCCACCTGTTGAATCAATAGTGATGACTATGACTATGACTAGCGAACATTTCCAACGATGCTCACATTCTCGCCCACATGCTTTACCCAATAGTTACCTACAGGAGGCATTATTCCAGAATACCGAACAGTATACCCTACATATTTTTTAACTAAATATTTTATACTGCCGTGGGTATCCAATCTCGAAGCGCACAACGAAGGACCAAAGGCCACCCATATTAGATCCGGATCTGACGCGTTGTACCAAAGTAACAGCTAGTATTACGTTCAGACTACAGAGTTATAACATGTTATAGCGCTATCTTGATGGTGGTTTCTGTGTTGCAATTATTTGACAACCGTTATAACTCTCCAGTCTGGACAGCGTTTAAATCTATTGTCTAACTGCCAATTTTACGTCAACGCAAATTAAACGGATCTAATGTGGATGGCCCTTCAGAGTAGGATCTTCTGCGAGAGCTACATTAGCAATTTTGTTATGCAGAATGACCAGTAAAGAAGAACAAACGCTTATCATAGTGGGGCGGCCAGATTCGAATCCCGATCTTGAAGAGGATCTTCTGGAATGTAATTTTTTACATTTTCCCCTGCGTTTATCCTCGGATATTCTTGCCAGTCATTGGTCTCAATTGGTATGAACTTCGATGGGATATCCACAGGAATTTATACAGATGTCCCTAGAATTTTGAAAGATGATTCAGTACTACTGGGGGATATCAATACGTATTAATCCCAAATATATATTGTAGGGATTTCCACTAACTGGCAACACAGTAATGTATGTACGTCATAAACTTTGGATTGGAGAAATATAATAAAAAGTTACTTCCTCGTGTACGCGTGTATTTTAATTCGACTCCTAACATTTTGGCGACGATCGGAGAAAACCGGGATTAAATTCGCTGAGGAAGGCTCTATACGTAATGGAGCAATGATTAAATTCGGTAAACGTGAGTTTACGATTCGGAATAGTGGTTTTACGTGAGAAATAAACCATAAATAATATTTGGGGTATAACCTCAAATTGACGCCTTTGTGACAAGGACGGCAGACGAGCTGAAAGCAAGACGGAAAACGCATCCGACACTCGGGGTTTTTCGACGAAGGGAAAGATTGCTGTGAAGAGGAGCCAAAACAAACGTGAAAATAAACAGTGTCTCGCCATAGTTGCGTAAAAGAAGATGGAGAACAGCAAATCTACTTTGTTACCTTTTGACACCAATAGCACCGCATCGATTGAAACACGCTGGATGAAATGGAAGAGATCTCTGGAGTTGTTCCTAGAGGTGAATTGTGTTGCTCTCCCATCCAGGAAGAAGTCGTATCTGCTGCATTTCAGTGGAACACAGATACAGGACATTTTTTTTCGATACACCTGGACACGATGCACCCCCGCCAGCGGACTCGGACGTTTACAAGGAGGCGATAAGATTACTGGATGCTCATTTTGCACCATTCTCCAATGTTCCTTACGATCGGTACGTGTTCCGGAAAATGAAGCAAACTGAAGATGAATCGGTGGAGAAATTCGTCGCCCGTCTTCGAGAGCAAGGGCGCCTGTGCGAGTACGGGAATGCACTCGATATGCGAGTTGCAGAACAAGTGTTTGACAACAGCCGATCGGACGAGCTGCGTGAAGTGATTATTAAGAAGAAGTTGATGAATGTGGAAGAAATCGTGCAGGAGGCACGGATCTTGGCAACAGTGAATCGTAATAAGGAGGATATGAAGAGAAATTCGGCTCCTATGGGTGAACCAAATCAAAAAGGGTGCGAAGAAAGAAAAGTGTTTCCGATGCGGAAATGTTGGACATTTTGCCAACGATAAAAGTTGTCCCGCGAAAAACAAAGTGTGTGATAGCTGTAAGCTAGTGGGACATTTCCGGAAAATGTGCAAAACCAAGCCGGAGAACCGAAAATCGAAGGATAAAAGAAGCAAGAAGAAGGTGTGGCAAGTTCAAGATTCCGAAGACGAGAGCAATGTCCCAGGCGGCAGCGAAGTCAGCAGCGAAGATAGTGACGACGACGTTCAGCACATTTACGCTACCGGAAATAAACACGATCTGGTGACATGTTACACAGGTGGTGTAAAATTGGATTGGATTGTCGACACCGGCGTTCACGTTAACGTCAGCAGCCGAACTACATGGCGTCATCTGCAACAACACGGATGTAAATTTACCGACGTCCAGAAATCACGGAAATTTCTGCGGGTCTACGGTAACGGTAAACTAACAGTTCACAAGACTTTCAAAACGGAAATTACCACCCGTTCGAAGCGTGTATTTCACGACGTGTATGTTGTGGATAACGAAACAGGGGCTAATTTGATGTGCAAGAGTACATCGTTGGAGCTGGGAATCCTGGAGATCCATGCAGAGGCGTTTTGTGTGTCAGACATTGAGGACCCTAAGGTGGGAAAGGTGAAGAATTTGCAGGTGAAAGTTCAGATTAACAAGGAAGTGGTGCCAATTCAACAACCATGCAGGCGTTTACCGATTCGAACTGGCGCCGTTGAAGATTACGTGGGCATCACCTTTGGTAGTCACGCCGAAAGATGGAGGGAAAAGTGTACGCCTGTGTGTTGACATGCGTATGGCTAACAAAGCTATAATCCCCGAACGACATCCGTTACCAACATTCGACGAAATAATGCCTTATTTAGACGGTTGCAAGTATTTTTCGAAGATTGATCTGGTGAAAGCTTTTCACCAAATCGAATTGGATCCAGATTTCCGAGAAATAACAACCTTCGTGACTCCGTTCGCATACTACCGTTACAAGCGTCTAATGTTCGGTATGAACTGCTCCGCTGAAATATTCCAACGGGAAATTGAGCGGATCTTGAAAGGCCTAAAAGGAATTCGAGTATTTATCGACGACATTCTTATATATGCGAAGACGAAGGAAGAATATGACGCCAGAGTACAACTAGTTCTAATGCGGCTTGACGAACATGGATCGACGGTCAACACCAAGAAGTGTGAGTTTGGAAAGAGGTCCGTAAACTTCATGGGTCACACCCTGTCAGAGCAAGGCATACTGCCAATGAACGATAAGATAAGTGCCATCCAGTCTTTTCGGTATCCGCAAAACTCAGCCGAAATGCGCAGCTTTCTAGGGCTAGTGAACTATGTTGGCAAGTTCATTCCAAATCTCTCAGAGATGTCGAGTACGCTACGGCAGATGACAATCAAGGGTACCAAATTTGAATGGACTGGAGAACGACGACAGTACTTCAAGAGAATCAAATCTTCTCTAGCTAACCCTAAGCATCTAGGATACTACAGTCCACAGAATCGCACGCTGCTTATCACTGATGCCAGTGGAAATGGTTTGGGAGCCGTCTTGGTGCAGATTATCCATAACGAACCTCGAGTGATTAGTTATGCAAGCAAAAGCTTAACAAATACGGAGCGAAAATACTCGACGCTAGACAAAGAGGCCTTGGCCATTGCTTGGGCGACAGAGCGGTTTCAAATGTACCTAACAGGTCTGGAATTCACAGTCATAACAGACCACAAGCCGTTGGTGAATATCTTCAACGAAACGTCATCCCCAAACAAGAGGCAAGAAAGGTGGGTGCTTCGGATGCAGTGCTATAGGTATCGCATGTTGCTCATCCCAGGGAAGATCAACATTGCGGACCCGCTATCACGGCTGCCAGAAGAATTGAGAAGCAAAACGTTCGACAAAGACGCGGAGGCAGCACTATACGCTATCGCGGAGGTTAGCATGCCGGTAGCAGTGACGATGGTCCAGGTGATACAGTGCTCGCAAGAGGATTCGGAGATACAAAAGGTTAGAAAAGCTCTAATAGATGACAACTGAGAAGGTAATTTGAAACGGTACGCACCGTTCAAGGGTGAACTATGCTTTGCAAATGAAGTACTGCTGAGGGGGTCTAGAGTTGTTATTCCAGCAACACTATGAGAAATGGTTCTAACATTGGCGCAAAACCGATCGACTGCAAAGAAGCTCTACAAGAATACCTGTATATGTACTCTGTGACTCCACATTCCGTAACAGGTGTTTCACCGGCGCAGTCAATGTTCGGAAGAAGATTCCGAGACTTGATCCCGCATTTCCAAATGCAAGTTTTAGATGACCATGAGATGCGTGATAGGGATCGAATGTTGAAGTACCAAGCAAAAACTTATCGAGACCAAAAAGTTGGTGCGAAAGAATCATCGGTGTCTGTTGGGGATGAAGTGCTAATGAAGAACATGTTGCCGCAAAACAAGCTTGATTCCAAATTCCTGCCTACGCCTGTGAAGGTAGTCGACCGACGTGGGAACAGCTTGACACTCGAAACCCCGGATGGGCAGACTTATAAGCGCAACACATCACATGTGAAACCTTTCGTACGTCAACCTGTTGCCGAGAACAACTCGCCAGCTGAAGGTTGGAGTTCGCCGACATCAGTGGATCTAGATACCTCTGTGCACGTAGAAGGGGAGATCAACCAGGAGCCTGCTAGAGTGCCGAGACCAAGTCGGCAGGTAATGCGACCCAAACGATATGACGATTACTGTCTTGATTAATCTAACGGTTGTTCTTTCAAGTTAATTAAAATAAAATAAGGGAGATATGTAGTGATTCCCACTAACTGGCAACACAGTAATGTATGTACGTCATAAACTTTGGATTGGAGAAATATAATAAAAAGTTACTTCCTCGTGTACGCGTGTATTTTAATTCGACTCCTAACATATATGCCATTGAATCGCAACTTGCCCACGTTTGTCATCTGTGTGGAGCTGAGAGCCTGCACGGCGGATGAGAACGACTCAAATTTGAGTTTAGTTCACTCATAATCGCCAAAAGTACAGGAACTCAGCGATGAGTAAAATTTGTCTCATGGTTTCCTGTGGAAAACCTGAAAAATCTGCCGGAAATTGAGGAAAGTGACGAAAATTTTATTCAGTCTCGGAGTAGTACCAATAGACTGAGTGAATCCAATCTTTACTTTTCTCAAATTCGGGATTTTTTCCCTGGAAAATCCTGGAAAAACCTGGGAAAACATGAGGCAAATTTACTCATCGCTGAGTTCCTGCACTTTTGGCGATTATGAGTGAACTAAACTCAAATTTGAGTCGTTCTCATTCGCCGTGTGAGAATGGAAACACAATTTTCGATGAACATTTCAAATGGTCCTATCTGCTTTGATCGATTCTCTTCATCGACTTTCTCTTTTGATAACCACTGCTATGCGAACAGATTTCACGCTAATTTTACCACATTGTTTGATAAAGGAGATTCTAATTTAGCATCCAAAACGTCAAGTACAACAGGAATAGGTTTTGCAACTGAGTTATTAACGAAAGACAAAGTCGATAAAGAGAATCGATCAATGCAGGTAGGTCCTTTTGACGTGTTTAGCTAGAATTACAAAAGTTATAACTTTCAGGGTTGCCAAACTCATGGAATATTGACACCTAGAACGGAACGCTTTGATTGACCATCATAGGCACGTTTGGCACAGCTTTCGGCACAGCTCAATCTCTCAGCACGAATAACCCTTAATATCCACTAGACTAATGCAAAATTTGAAATGTTCGCTCCACAGTGCTCAAACGGTTTCAAATCAGGTCCTGATTAGCCTCCCAAAATTTAAACTCATTTGGTAAGAAACTGACTTGGCACAAATTATTCGAAGTTTATATGGAAATTACTATGGGACAACCAAACTTTTTGTTCATTGTCTTCTACCCATTTTCGATATTGCTTTTTCGAAAACTTCTATAACTATTCTTACGGGAAATTTTCTAAGCTACAACTTTGCCGAATGTCGCTTTTCAGCCAAATGTCAAATTAAATTGTTTGAGAGATTGATAATCTTATGGCATGATCAAGCAGCTGTTCTGTAGGCAACACTGTATTCTGCAATGTGACATAGTAGCCATGATTTTTGGGCCTTTTTTTTCCCGCTAGAAACACCAATGTTGTTCGTTGAATGAGCATAATCAAAAGACATCAGTGACTTGAATCATTAATAACTTTTGTTCCTTACATTTGATTGCAAAGTAGTTTTCAACAAAGTTGTAACTGAGAAAATTTACTACAATCGCTGCTATAATTTTTAAAAGCATAGTGATGTGGTAAATTGTTAGATAGATATGAACAAAAACATAAGTTTTCCTATAGTAATTCCCATATAAACTTGAAATGGTTTGTGCCAAGTCAGTTTCTTACGAAAGTAGTTCACATTTTGGGAGGCTAAGCAGGACCCAGTTTGGAACTGTTAGAGCCTAGGTTAGAGCACTGTGGAGTGAAAATTTCAAATTTTGCATCAGTCTAATATCCACGGTCTAACAAAATAGGCATTTAGGTTAGAAAAGCCATATATTTTTGTAATAAGCAATCTGAACAACTAACCCTACGACCACCAGAAGGCGAGCTTCTGGTAGCCCTATATGCTGTTTTGTTTTGATTCTGCGTTCCGTTTCACTCGTTCCATTTCACTTTACTCTATTACTCCATGTGCTCTACTTGATGACGTTTGAGCAATTTTTAGTTTGCACGGGCAGCGTGCAGATTAGCGGGGTGCATACACACCAAATTCTGTTTTCATCTTCCAGCAAATGGTTTGCTGAAAATGATCCAGCAAAACGATTTTAGCTGAAATAACAGCTAACAACTAACAAATCCAGTAATCCGTTGTTTTTGCCGAAAACCAGCAAATCATGAACTGTCAAAAAGACTTGTGGTTCTAGTTAATTAGTTTCTTACAACATTCTCGGAAAGTTTTTTTTACGTAGGATTACATATTTTGGCAGCATTTGGGGGGTACAATTAAAAAAAATCGCCCACGTTACGAAAAGTGGTCAGGTTTTGACCACTTATAACTCTGTCAATAGCGGATGAATTTTAAATCTAAACAAGCCAATCGATAGGAAATTTTTCTAAAAATCTGCTAAAATGAACACTTTATCAACACAAATGTTAATTTTGATCACCATTGCAACGCAAAAAGCGCATTCGTTAACATAGATTTCAAAATCGAATTCCATCTGGTCTCGCTGAACGGTGCTTATTCAATCACCGTGTGTGATGGTCTGGTTGGTCATCATCATCAGCAGCAGTAGCAGTGCTTTCAGCGCGTGACGTTGAACATTGCTCTCCAGTACACAACGAAAGGCTGCCCGCAAGCAGCGAGCTGCAGCCCACACGAGCGTCCATTCACCGAAGAAGGAGGAAGAAGCCGCACCGCTACTGATTGGAATCAGTAGCTATTCGTGAGTCGCTGTGAACCATCTATGCCAAGCGTGTCACCCTCGTTCCAAGCATCGAACAGCTCGCCAGCCTCATCCTATTTTTATCCACCAAATTCTAGTCCTAATTAATTCAAGAAATTTACTGAAGATGTCAATCAAATTGGATGCAGTCCCAGCAACAATCAATACGAAACTAATGATTTTAAATTGGCTCACTACTTGACTAGCCTATTGGTCCCAAGCAACCGATTAACTTACTCAATTCTAGTCAAAATTCTAGTACTACACAATGTTTGTTTTGATTCGCTATGAAAGTTTGACAGATAAAATGAGGGGTTATTGGATTTCCCTATGTTTCGAGGGGTGGATCGTTTAGCTTGGGACCGAAGATAGTACCAGAGCTGAGCCAAAAAGTTGAGCACGTTTCTTCGGGACCTACTAGTCTTAGAGTTACCTCTATGATTTTACCGTGCACAAATCAATAATACGTTTGCTCCGATACGTTAGTTCAAAAGCCACAATACAAAGCCTATAAAAGCGCATGGAATGAATATTTACACCCTGGGTGGGAGAAGCACAGTGATGCAAAATATCATGACACTCACGTGACACTCGTCTTCGCATCAACCGACTATCGCTGACAGAACGTTTTGTCACGCAGTGAGAGGTAGAGCCATGGCAAACAACAATCACCAGTAATGGTCGCTGCTCACAAGCAAAACGTTACACTTGTTGCTGAGGATGAAAAGCACAACGAAAACAGTGAAGACTTCTGGAGTACGATCATGAGAAAAAGCGAAACGACAGAAGCAAATGAAAACAATGCCTACGCATTCCAAGTTCGTCTCGGCAGGCGCGACTGTGTGAGTTGCAAACAAATTAAACGGCAGCTGTTGGACTCACTCACCAACACACTCACATAAGCAAGCAAAGCAGCACCTGCTTCAAAACAAGCACAGATGAGTGTCGTGATTGTCGGGAATGACCATATCGGTGATGGATCACAACCGAAGACGACATTCACCAGTTGCTTTTTACTTCTTTCGTCAACTTGATGGATGGTCATGGAGAGAGCTACGACGAGCACATTGATAGGAATGTACAAAGCGTTACTACCATAAGCTGTTTGACGATCGTGATAAATATGACCGTCAAAAGGAGCCAGAATCAAGCCCAAATAGCAATTTTGGTTTTATGAGGGTTCTGTAGACCATGATTTAAATTTGTAGAATGCTATAAAACCACGATAAAACCTGCAATGTTACTTGGGAGCTGTCACTAACTGAAATTGTGATCAGTTTGATAGTGCTTTTCTTACAGTCGAACAAGAATACAAAAGGCGGTATTGCAATCTTGCGTAAAGTAATTTATGAAAAACTGTCGTTTCCAGCTATCTTATGCAATGGTACATCGTTTTTTTTTTTAAATTCATTCCTTGAATTTACACAAATCTATATTGATAGATACCATTAACCAGACTATTTTGCTACGCCTAATTTGATTTGATTTCATTTGCACAAATTTTCATGACAAGAAAAACAAGCTATAAAACAAATTCCGTGTGTTCTGTCTGCTTCTTCCTCTCAGTTTACACCCATTGTTCTCATAAACAAAAGAAGCACTCCTGGCGATACAATTTTTTCTACCTTCATTCGTATGATGAAGAAAATCCAATGGCTTTTCAATGCGTTTGGACGGAATTGAAACCCGTAGCGGAACCAAGAAGTAGTATTATATTTTTAACAAAATATATAGGGGAAATGGCTCCAATGTTGGCCTATGGATCTAAGATTGGGCCCATCGCTAAAAATTTGCTATTTATCAATTTTATCTAGATGAACGCATCATTGAGACGGTAATAATGGATATTTTTGGTCGCTATTGAAAATTTAGTCGATTGCTGAATTTATGTATGGGCCCAAATTAGGTGCATTTCGGCCGACATTACATCCATTTCCCCAATAAGTTCTGCTTCTTTATCGAACCCAACGGTATACATGGGAAAGGAAATTAATTCAGTTCGTTTAAATCCGTTCGAAAACGAGAGGTGTGGTACTAGCCACAAGTAATAATTATATTACACAGCATTTCAAACTACAGTTTACTCTCGATCCCCTGCACTCAACTAATGGCAATAACAAGATCACGCTAAAACGCAATACACCAATTCATCACTAATATATACCATACTGTATCACATCAAAGTGTATCGATATTTGGTTGCAAGGCATCACACGAGGTAAAGCGCGGGTTGTGCTTAGTAGAACGGAAATCAGATCAAAAATCCCATTACGGCAAACCCCGCGACCGCGGATAGTCAAACAGTCGTTCTTATGTCTCGCGTGCCAAATCCCCCATTCATGAACAAAATTTGCAAACCTGTTGAAGCGGTGAATAATTGAACGTGACCTCCTCAACGGCAAGCAAAACCATCGGAATTTTTTTATTCGAATTATGTACATACATAGACCCCACCTCTCTCCTCCCATTTCACCCCATCGAGAGAGGTTCCAACAGCAACATGCGCCCAACGATAACAAAAGAAGATTTTCCTCTGCATGAACCATGAAGATAGAAAGAATCTCCGGAAGCGTTCTTGAAGGAAGAAAACTTGCTTACTGCGAGAAAGAGAAAATTTTCGGCGATTCTCCCCCGTTTTCTTTCGGCACTGAGAGAGCAACTGCTGTCTGAGCTCGCTCGCACGAGAGAAGCCGAGCACATGTTGTGTTGGAATTTCCAACACAACATGTGCTCGGCTTCTCTTGTGCGACGGAATCCCGTTTCTATGCCGGAAAGCTCGTTTTTGCGTATATGGGAGCGAAAGAGATCACAGTAGGGTGTACCCAGAGCGATGTTTGGCGAAAGCTTTCGTGGGAAATTTCGTG